ACTCTAAGAATTACATACGAGATAAAGTTTTGTTACTAAGGCACACTTTACAGACCGTTCTCTTCAGCAGGATAAAGCTGGTTTGCCACTGAAAAGCTACTGTTTGCGAATTTACCATACAAGAAGTTCGTCCCACTAAAAACAAGGAACTGGTGATTCGCTGAACATATAGACATGATTAGAAAAGCGACTGGGGAAGACGATTGACTTTAATTATTTCAACAACATGCAAGAGTTGGATGAAGAAAAATACACATAGGTACTTTGTAACTGCCTAAGATCAAAAGTTAAAGCGAAGACTGCACAGCATGTATTCTAAAGACGACCAAAACTAGCCACTGTCCACAGTTTACCCGATACTTTACAGGCACGGTCCATACATCTTTTATCTGTATCGTTTAAGTCTCAAAGAAACTATCTTTGCATATGTTATAGTGTCAATGATAGCTATCACTATTTATTTTGACTACCAGCATATTAACCTTCATGACTTGAAAAGATCCTCCATAAGCCATATACAGCCGTGGTTCAGGGACACAAGCGAAATGTGTTCAGCCGCGTAAGAGATTGTACTACCAACTAATAAGCCTATACCGTCAGCCGCACATAATTCTCTGCTACAGACTGTACAAAAAGTGCCCGCCAGCTATGCGAATTTGCATATTCTTACATGTTCTTTTGATACTGATATTTCCTTACCTTTTATATCCATCTGCTACTGCTTGTATATAAGATGTAAGGTTTATCCGAAGTTTTCAACAGTTACCTTCAGTTAAAGCTACTTTCCTAGCCCTCCTAATTTCAGCTTACAATTTCTTACCGGAATATGTTTTCAGAATCGCGGTTAATGCAAATGAGTAAGAGCGGTATTTAAGTCGAAGTTTCATTGACTTTATTAGGTAAAGGTATGGGGGACACCAGCGATGTACCATAGGTCAACTGGTAATGCCTTCCTATACTAACTCTTAAAAAAAGGGGGGAATTTGCAAGTTTTATAGGAATTTACATAGACTGAAGCTTTCCAAAAGGTCTAGAGTTTACCTATTATGGTACATCGTGCAATCCCACAGTACACCCCGCATCCAGTATTTATTAAAAATTAATGATGTAGGACATAAATAGATTACAAAATAGTCGGAATGCAATTTGAGATTCCCAAGATAAATTGAACATCTGATTTGGTGCAACAAAAATGGGAGATAAACATAATTAATAAACAGATAAACATAACGAGATAATTATAATTAGTACTGGCAACACAATGTTAAAATGAATTGTAATAATAATGCTGAAGAGGTGGGTGCCCGTGGGTTATTTCAGATATATTGGTTTATTTCAGTTTATAAAGTTCACGAGCGGAGCCATTTTGTCCATGTAATCACAGCATGTAAAAGTTCACTAAGTTTAAGCAATATGTGGACTTACGCTTATGTGGACTTAGCAGTATGTGGACTTTAGTATGTGGACTACAATGTTAAAATGAATTGTAATAATAATGCTAAAGAGGTAGGTGTCCATGGGTTATTTCAGATATATTGGTTTATTGCAGTTTATAAAGTTCACGAGCGGAGCCATTTTGTCCATGTAATCACAGCATGTAAAAGTTCACTAAGTTTAAGCAGTATGTGGACTTACGCTTATGTGGACTTAGCAGTATGTGGACTTTAGTATGTGGACTACAATGTTAAAATGAATTGTAATAATAATGCTAAAGAGGTAGGTGTCCATGGGTTATTTCAGATATATTGGTTTATTGCAGTTTATAAAGTTCACGAGCGGAGCCATTTTGTCCATGTAATCACAGCATGTAAAAGTTCAAGCAGTATGTGGACTTACGCTTGACAGAGATCTAGGCCGTAGGAAGAGAGCATTGACTTTGTTAGAGAGCCAGAGATTCTGACTACCGCGCGTTTGCCTTTTCGCTACACTCTCTCTAAGCTATTACTACGCTCGACCCAAGGTCCGTACAGTGAACTGTACGGACCTTGCGCTCGACCGTATCTCAGGCCCTTGATAGCTTCGCCAGCTTAATTGATATTTAGTGGTCAACTACTTAGAAATCTCGATAGCTTCGGCTATATCATTTAGTTAAGCTTTAGTTAAGTTTCATTTCTTATTACTCTGAGTTCAAGGCCCAAGTGGAGGTTTTTGTTCAAGCCCAAGTGGAGAAAGGGACCTATTGCGAACTTATTTTTCAGAAATAAAGGGTAATTAACCCTTCTTGAGTTTTACGTATGTGTTTCTGAACTAAAGCGAATATTCGATAGAAGGTTGGAACCCCACAAGTGTTTGGATATTTTGAAGTTACTCATTAATCTATTGTTTTGATACATAGTCTTACCAGCATAAATATACTACTCTTGTCTACGTTCCATCGATACATTAGTCTGATGCAAAAATATATTAAATTGTAGATAACTATACACCTTGTTTTTAAATTTATCCGGAAATGATAATGTAAATTAATCTGGAAATTCTAATGTTAATATTAATGTCAATATATATATATATATGTAATAATAAAATTCCATGGTCAAGAATGCACTTAAAATTTTAACTGTATGTTCTTTTCATTTTTAATGGCGACGTTCTCTTATTAGAAAGTACGTGGAATTAAATCCACAGCCCCGTAGTCAAGTTGTTTTTCCCGCCTTATCTACACGTACAGTTTTAGAATGTTCTGGAGATATTTAAAGCGAACTGGATTGGCTGACGAGGCTGACGTCATTTCTTTGAAGCTCCGCCTTTCCAAAGGCTATAAAAGGACTCGCAAAAGAATATCGGGGGCTTTTTATAAATACTTAGGTGTCTATATTAACAAAACCCTAAATTTCAAAGATCATATTCAATATGTTACAAATAAGGCTAACGCTGCTTTCATTGCTCTCTACTCATTAATTGGAAGAAACTCTAAGCTAAACCTCCGTACCAAGAAAAATATCTACATCTCACTTATTCGCCCAATAATCCTCTTTGCAGTTCCAGCCTGGGCTACTGCCCGAAAAATAGACAGACAAAAATTAAATGTTCTTCAAAACAAAATCTTACGTAGCATAGTGAACGCACCCTGGTTCGTGCGAAATTTTCAAATTCGCAAAGACCTGGATATCAACCCAATTCACGACCAAATCCTAATTTCTGCACATAACTTCTTTGAAGATATGAGAAATTCTCCCTGTGAAGCTATTAAATCGCTCACAGACTATGACCTTACTATAGAGCACGTAGTGAAAAGACCTCGAACGATCCACCACAATTCTAAGAGGTGGTAGTGTATATAATGTTAAAAAAAAATTACTATTCCTCTGTAGTTATTATTCAAGAAAGATGAACTTTGCAAAGTTAGGACTTTATTTTTCATCGATGAATTCTTAGTTTTACTGCTTATTTAACCAAGATTTTTACTTTTACTTTTTATTTTTACTATTTCGTATCGTGTGTTTTACAATCAAAGTTCGTGGTAACACCAAGTGCTTACTCTCATTATCCCTAGTGAGCTACTTGAACTCATTTTACAGTTTCCTATTCATTTAATGATTATATCGCAAGTTTAGAAGATTTTCAAGTGTTTCAAAAGACATAGGATTCTAAAATTCACTGATAGATGTTACTTTTACTATGTTCGAACTTTATTTATTTCCAAAAACTACAAAAAGCTTCATTTTTCGAACTCTGACTCCTCGACCAATCTAAATGCCGGACGCTCATCACGTGTTTCTGCTCTTCTAGACTCACCCAGAAGCTTAGACTTTCATTTCGCCTCTCGCCGCCATTTATATATAATCACCCATGCTATGCCATGATATGCAATTTAGCAAAACTTATTTTATGAGTTCTCTCATTTATTGATCTCGCCTGCGGGCGCGGTGTATTTTTAAATACACCTCTTAAATTTTTATCTTATGACCTATGGTATAATGATAATATACTGGTAAGAGCTCCTAGTAGCTAAAGCCAGCAGCAAAGATATGATCCAAGATCCAAGATCGGGGGCTTTTTCTTAAATGTCACGTTGCAGTAAACTTCATACAAAAAGTTATTAGTAATTCTTTTTATTTACTCCGGATATCTGATTTTGTAACTGCTATTTTTCCTGAATAATAATAAATGGATCCTTTTTTTTTAAACTTATCGTCTGATAATTTAAGCTACGACTAAAGCTGGTACATCATATATATATTTCATTATTACCTGTTCTACAATAGTTTTGTGTGTCTTTAATAGTTTTACTTAATAATATTTATAATCTTCTGGCCGTTTAATCTGTTCCCTTAATAGCGCTATATAATGGTATTGTGTTGTTATAGCTTTCTAGTGCTGATTTCCGCTGTATCATATAGTTCTTGTCTCTATAATATTAATAATTAATAGCTTTTTCATTTTAAAATTATATTAACAGAATTGTATTTATTCAATCCTGTTACAGGGGAGTATTGTTCTTACCATTTCGTTGTTATAATTGTCAATGTATAAAGCACTGGCTGTTTTGTTTCCTTTCGAGCAGGCGAATAATGTAGTGCACTACATCGAATTGTCCAACACATTGTACTGTGTCTAGCCTGTATAGTGCATTAAGTCAGCTGTTAACGCTTTCATAATTGTCCTTCCCTTTTTCTTATACAACTAGTACTGTAATTTCTTCCTTTCTTCTACTACTGCTAGGCGAGTTTAATCATATTTGTCTCTTCCTCTGCTAATCTCAGATAGATGAGACTTATGCATGTCCTATTTCCCTGTTATACCTTTCACCACTGACATACACATAAGCTTTTTAATCTTTTGATATGCATATTCGTTTTGTCTCCCAAGGACAAATCCAGGGGGCATGCCATGAGCGCATATTTGTAAAAAAACAGTTCCCATAAACGAAGCTTTTAGTTGAAATGCTAACTGAGTACATGGCTGTCTAATTATTGGTGGAAAAGAACAAAGCAAATCGAGATTTTGTTGTAATTGTCATTTCATGTATCTTATTAGATATATTTCTGTATTTTCTTTAGGCGAAAAGCATCTTTCAGCACCCCAGCTGTTACTTTATGCCCCCGAACAAGAGACAGAGGATTCTAGACACAACACCATAGACTGGTCAGAAACAGAATCAGATCTAGATTACGATGGAGTGGTTAGTAGCCAAAGTAGCTTCTGCAGGTGGTGGAGAGCGCAACAGGCGAAAGTCAAGTACCTCACGGACCACCGGTATTTCCAGAGGGGCATCCTCACGGCCATTCTCGTTAATACACTCAGTATGGGAATCGAATACCACAACCAGGTGATTGACCAGAAATAATTTATTATTGCCTATATAGAGTGGTGAGTTATATAGAGTGTATATTTAAAACGTCAGACAGCAGCAACATTACTCGCAGTGAAAGATAAGAATACCTCAGTTCTTAAACTCAATTTAAACTTTTAATTTATTCTTTATCATGTTACGGCCGTAAATACGCAAGATTAGGTTTAATCACTTACAAAGCAGTGCTGAACGTCAGATACCGATGGTTCCATCTATCAACAAACACTGCAAAACAGATTTCATCAACAATAGTTTGTTTTATTACTCGAATACGTATGTGGCCGATAGACCAATCAGCTCCCAAGGCAACAATCCCTGTACAGGAGTTATAATTTTCGTAATGAACAAAACTTCTGCTTTCCATATTATTTATTTTTGTTGTTCTTAATTTCAAATATAATATATGGATGTGTGCTTGTATTATACACTGCTGGCCACCATAAATGCAATACCCTGAAGGAAGTATGCAAATAACATGAAATTTACAACATGTATTAGCGGAGGTGAGATATGCAAATGATTAGAATTTCAGAGCAGACGCACATCACGCGCACCTGTAGCGCTATTTAAGGCTTGAAGTTTTCGACGATTTCAAGTTCGGCAATTGTGTTTTTCTTCTGGTTTTTTCAAAAAAAACTATCAATTATGCCTCGTAGTAAACAGCGATCATCGTTTGATCAAGTATCCGAGTTCGACAGAGGAAGGATAGTGGCCTACCGAGAGTGTGGATTATCTTTCAGGGAAATTGGTAGTCGTGTTGGACGAAACCAAACAACTGTAATGCAGATATGTAACCGTTGGATGCAGGAGGGTACGACGGACCGACGTGTTCGAAAGCATCCACCTCAGTGCACCACTTCACGTGATGACAGGAAAATTGTGCGCATGGCAGTGATGGATCGCTCATTCACATCACGAACCATACCACAGCACATTCCGTCTGTAACGCATCATCCAGTGTCTGCGCGTACCATTCGACGCCGTTTACAGCAGAGTGGTCTGTCCGCAAGATATCCATTGCTTCGTCTACCCTTGACGCAGAACCACAGACGTCTCCGCCGCCAATGGTGCGATGAAGAAGGATGTGGACGGTAGAATGGAATGAAATTGAATTTACTGACGAGTCACGCTTCTGTCCGCAACACCATGATGGTCGTAATCGAGTCTGGAGACACCGCGGGGAGAGGCTGAACAGCTGCGTTATGCTACGCCACGCTGTTCCTGCACCGGATATTATGGTATGGGGCGGTATTGGATATCCCCCTGGCACTACTCTAATACGGTACTTTAAGCAACCAGCGCTACATCTCCGAGGTGTTGGAGCCAGTTGTCCTTCCTTACTTTCAGGGCTTGCCCACAGCCATATTTCAACAGGATAATGCGCGACCACACGTGGCGCGCATTGTCCAAGGGTTCTTCGTCAATCGCCAGATTGAATTGCTTCCCTGGCCGGCTCTCTATCTCCGGATCTTTCGCCGATAGAAAACGTGGGTTCCATGGTTGCTGAACGATTGATCCAGATTACATCCCAAACTGCCTCACCAGATCAACTTTGGCAACGCGTGGAACCTGCTTGGTCTGCTGTACCCCAAGAGCACAAAGTCTCTTTGAATCAGCAGCTTTGGTGATCTCCAACAATGGCGGCTACTCTGGCTACTGATTCTGGAAGGAACCACACTTCACAGAAGTCTATAAATTTAATCATTTGATACTAGGACAACACGTTACCTACTAAATAAATTTTGTTGTGATATCTCTTGTCTTTCTTGGTGTTGGAATTTGGATGGCAAGCAGTGTATTTTAAAACTAATATTTGGCAAATGGCATCCGTTCTTCACCTCGATTTGAAGCGCTCTTTCCGTAACTGTCGCTGGAATTTCTTGAATTACTCGTCAAATATTGGCTTTGAGCTATTGTGTGGTTCGTCATACATATTTTCTTCTCAATAACCCGGTAAAAAATATTTTGGCCGTAAAATTTGGCAATCGCTATTGCTAATTAAAATTTTAAAATCGGGAAATTATGAGCTTTGCCAAAATGTTTCCTCAAAAAAGCCATTGTTGGTCGCTGAAAATATTCAGCCAATCAGCAGATTGGTGAAGCTCTGATTTATGCAAATAAAAGATACTGCGATATGCTGATTGAGTCAAAATAACAAAGTGTTAACTTTCAAAGAAAAAGAAAAAAGTAAAAGTAAAAGGTTAAAAAGTAAAAGGTTCTAAAGTTTCGTTCTTTACTTAGTAGTGAATATTTCCATCAAAAAACGTCTAAGTCTTTATCTTCCTGTGAAATGTCTTCTTCGGTTACGTATTTTTAATGCAAATTTTAACATTTTCCTTTGTCTAATTTGGTCAATAATTTTCCCATTCATGGCAACAAAAAAGCATCGATTAATGCCTAATTTGGTAAAATAGAATAAGCAGAAATAAATTTCCTTTTATCACTGATATGTGCAAACTTTAATCAACCTCAAATGGATATTAGTTAACATTTATTCAAAAGAATTATTTTATATTTATTTCTTAAAGAAAGGAATAGTACCTAACATCAAAAAAAGTTTAGCTTCACATTCCAAATTAAAATTTTTTTCTTCGAGCTGGAATAGAATTCTCGACTTCTTAATTCTTTGGAGCCACTGAATACTTTCATGGATAATAATAAAAATGTGCTTAATTTTTTAAAAATACATAAAATTCACGCCTGTATTTATAATTGTTGCTTTGTATCTTCCTACATTATAAATTCTATGAAAGCTGATTTTTTATCATTTTAGCCAGAAGAATTAACTCTAGCCGTGGAAATCAGTAATGTCATCTTCACAGCCATATTTTTCTTGGAAATGATACTCAAGATGTTCGCTGAAGGATTTTGTTCCTACATCAGTAGCGGTTTCAACGTTTTCGACAGCGTTATCGTAGTTCTCAGGTATGTCACTATGTGCTATGTGCAGAGCTTGCTTCATTGCACTTTGAGTATACTATTATACACTGAAGTGACAAAAGTCATGGTATACCTCCTAACATTTTGTCGGTCCTCCTTTTGCCCGGCGAAGTGCAGCAACTCGGCGTGGCATGGACTCAACAAGTCGTTGGAAGTCCCCTGCAGGAATATTGAGCCATGCTGCCTCTATAGACGTCCATAATTGTGAAAGTGTTGACGGTGCAGGGTTTTGGGCACGAACTGACCTCTCCATGATGTCCCATAAATGTTTGATGGGATGCATGTCGGGCGATCTAGGTGGCCAGATCATTCGCTGGAATTGTGTAGAATGTTCTTCTAACCAATCGCGAACAATTGTAGCCCGGTGACATTGCGCATTGTCATCCATAAAAATCCCATCGTTGTTTGAGTACGTGAAGTCCATGAATGGCTGTAAGTGATCTCCAAGTAGCTGAAGGTATCCATTTCCCGTCAATGATCGGTCCGTTGCACCAGAGGACCGAGTCCATACCATGTAAACCAGACCCAGACCATTATGGAACCACCACCAGCTTGAACAGTGCCTTGTTGACAACTTGGGTTCATGGCTTTGTGGGGTCTGCGCCACACTCGAACCCTACCATTTTCTACGCGATACTACTGCTATCTGTATATTTGCATATTGCTATCCAATGACTTTTGTCACTTTAGTGTACATTCATTCATAAAAATTTTATTCCTGCTCGACATGCACTGCTTTAATAGAAGAATAATCCTTGCAGCTTGGTGGAGCTTTGCCAAAGCAGCGGCAGCGGTTTGTCTGTTCTCCGAACATTCAGACTCCTTAGGATCCTGAAATTGGTGCGCTTCATGCCGGCACTCAGGAGACAGCTCATCATCATGCTCAGGACCGTCGACAACGTGGCCGTTTTCTTTGCACTTCTCATTCTCTTCATCTTCATCTTTAGGTAAGACTTTGGGATTTCTTCTGATAGAACTTTGTTTCCAGAGATAAGAAAAAGGACAGTTCAATACCTCCCATTCTACTGGACCGATTGACGAAATTCAAATTGCGTTTTCGATGTCTCGAAAGCTCGATTTAGGATATATATTAGATTCATATAAAGCATTATTCTAACATAGGTATTTTCACAAAAAGCGGACTTTTTTAAAATAACATATCAATTTTGATCCATTTTTCAATTCTACGACTCAAATTATGCCTAGATATTAAATTTTGTAATTGTTGGTGAGACATTTATGGAGAAATTTAAAAATTTATTTTGACGTACTTTTTACTTCCTTGTACGAAGTAAAAAGGAAGTATTGTAATAGCGAAAAGTTTCAGGAAGCATATTTCAACGAAAATATCCATTTTGACCGCTTTCGAATGCAATTTAACGAGGTTTCTGCGTGATATCTGCGTGACAGAATAAAAGACTCTTTTCCTCCAAAAAAACTAAAAAACTCCTTTAAAATGAATTCTGAAGAGAATTTTTTTGTGGCGTCTGTACGAACGTATGTACGTACGTACGTATCTCGCATAACTCAAAAACGAGTAGCCTCAGAACGTTGAAATTTTGTATATAGGACTGCTATAACATGTAGGTGTGCACCTCGTATTTTGGTTTCAATCGGCCGCACCAAACGTATATAAATATATTTATATATATATCCCCTCTGTTATCCGGCTCAGTGATCTCAGTTTCTTTACTCTAGTATGTTTGTAAATTGTACATTTTTTGCTTTAAAAATGATTAAATTATGTTGTTCTTATCTTCCGGTTAAGGTTTTTATGCCTTTAGTAAATCTGCATGCAATATTTTTAGAATTCGCAACAATTTAAATGTTGTTTAAGTGCCGCTAAGCCTATTTTGATGGCAGCCATTGCTTGTTTACATTTGAAACAGCTGAGTAGTGAATTTGTTGCCAATCTAGAAAAAACATAGCTTCGCAACAACAAAGATAAACGCCTTCATTTATTATTGCGATTTAAATCATGCTTAATCCTTTCTGGAATTTTTTCGAGGAAATAAGTGTTTAAGATTTACTTAATTTTTATTAATTTAATTTTTAATAATTAGTAATTTTTAGCAGAGATATTTTGAGTTTTTATGTATTTTTGCCTTGTCGCGAAGGGAGAACTGAATTAATTGAATGAGAAATACTCAATCGTCTGTGAAAAACTGTTTCTTTTTTGTTTTGTTTGCTTAATTTCTTTTATACATCGTTCTAGCTTTATTATAGTACTTGAATAGAACATGTGGCAACGATTAGATAATTCTTTAAATGATAACAAATTTTGTGCATTCTGAGTTATAATATGAACGAAATATAATACTGTTAAGTGAACCTAGCGCCAGGGTGTCGCTATGGTAAACAAATAGAGTGAATTTTAAAGAATGCACTTATTCTATTGTGGTTTATGCGCTGTCGGCGAAGTAGATATAATTCAATCCAATAATTTTAAACAAAATGCAAGAAAAAATGCGTGTAATTTAATATTCCGTACAAGGAAGTCATGTGGTGTATACATCAGATTTTTTATATTTCGTGCAATTTGAAAAAGAAATGCATTACTGAGAATTTGAAAAAGAAATGCATTACTGAGAAAGGTAGATTTTTCAGATTTTGATTCTATTGCTTAAACGATTGAGAAATACAGTCATCCTTATCGTTTTAACTTGCAATCTCCCAAAAGGCATTAGGTTGTACTTATTTATACTTTTCTGCTCACTACCGTGAGTAAATTTTCTGAAAATATTATTTTGACGCTATCGAATGTAATTTAACGATGTTTTTGCGAGACATTTGTACGTAAGAACAAGAAAAAGGACACTTTTTCCCCAAACGAATTATAAAACTGTTTCTAAATTTTTCAGAATAGATTTTTTTCATGGAGTCTGTAAGTACATACGTATGTACCTATGTACATATGTCGGATAACTCAAAACCGAGTAACTTCAGAACGTTGAAATCTTGTATGTAGGATTGCTATAACATGTAGTTGTACACCGTTCTTTTTCGTTGCAATCGTTTGCACCGAAAGTATATACATATGTTACGATGAAACACCGAACTCTGGAGAATGTCGACTTTCACCAGTGAATGTCAACATTTACATAGTCTCTTGGTGTATGTCCGAAATATTTTCCAAATAATCTTATTTCTGATTTACACCGGTCAATGTCGACATTCACCGTGTAGTAATGGTGAATGTTGAACATATAACAATATTATATTTTCTTCTCCGTAATTCAGTCGCGAATAAACGCACTTGAGACTTGAAATAAGAACTTAAGAACATGAGAACCTAAAACACACAATACATTCAAAATGAGAAAGGAAAATAATAGAAGTTAAAAACTTACTTAATTATACAGTACGGTCTAAATGAGAAAATAAAATAACAGTCATAAAAAACTTACTAAATTATGCGATTCAAATCTTATTTATTGCAACAACTTAAACTATTATGGCACTTTATGACCTCTCTTTTCGACTTTCACCAGAGCATATCTGTGATTGTCGACATACACCGGTGAGGGTCCGAATATACAAGAATGTAGTGAAATATTCGGTCTTTCACCGACATATTTGGTGAATGTTGATATTCTCCGGTGAAAGTCGACATTCTCCAATTTCGGTCTTTAACGGTAACATATATATATATCCACTCTGTTACTGAGCTCGAGCTCAGCGAACTCAGTTTTTTTTTTTTTATTCTTACATATTGGTAAATTATGCATTTTTCTTTAAAATTGACTTGATTGTGGGGTTCTTTTCTTCCGGTTAAGGTTTTTATGCATGGCATGTTAATCTGCATGCAATAGTTGTAGAATTATCAACAATTTAAAAGTTCTGTACAAACGGTTATTTCGAAGCAGGAGAGATGAAAAATGAGCAATACCCTCGCCGGGACTCGAACCACGGACCTCTCGAATACGCGTCCAACGTGCTGACCACTACACCACGTAGGCGTGCTAAGAAGGCGGGAGAAATACCTTATATACTCCCCCTTTTAAAGGGCGACTGGGGCTTAGGGGACCCAGTCGCCAAATCCTGGTGGGGAAGAATCCTCATTCACCACCTTTAAGTTTTGGGCACCACTGTAGAGTCATTAGGTTATTTCGAAGCTAGAAAGATGAAAAATGAGCAGTCCTCGCCGGAACTCAAACTGCGGACCTCTCAAACACGTGTCGAGCGTGCTGACCGCTACACCATGAAAGCATGCTAAGATGGCGGGAGAAATACCTTATATTTATTGTGCAGCTAAGCCTATTTTTTTACCATAGCAGCAATATTTCTTTACGTTTGAAACTTAGCAGAATAGTGAATTAAGTAAGTTTCTGCACCTTCAGTGTCCTTTTGCCGAGTGGAACCAAAAGGAAACTTTTAGTTTTGTGCCCCGAAAAATGTGCCTTCTTGCCCGCTGGCCGAATCGCTTGTTTTTGCGCAGAAACTCTTTAATTGGAAAAATTATTTTTTTTAATGTTTTAACGGTATTTGGTGTTTTATGTTTATATCTTTCAATTTTTAATGAAAATATTTTGAATTTTTACGAAATGCTGGAAAAAAATGCGTATAATTTAATGTTCCGTACAAGGAAGTCATGTGTTGTAAATGTCAGATTTTTTCCTTTGGTTTGTCCATTTCAGACTAGTTATCACCAAAGAATCCAGCAACATTAAGTCTTAGACAGCTTTGTAACTAGCATTCCGCCGTGTTACGCAACTCTTGGTTTGCGAAATACATACATATGCAGAGATTTCCTTCCGAGTCCTCTCAGAATTTAATGGCTTTTGGATCGATTAGAAATTTCAATTTAAGCGAAGTTAATAATGCATCGCAGGCATTCTCTTCTCTTACACTATCGGAGCAGATGTGGATTGGCAGTAGATATTGGCCTCTGGGGACATAGAGGACTGATTCTTAGCTGTCAATACAATGCGCACTTCCCCATACCGAAGTGCAGTCACAATTCAAACAGAATGAGATGCTTGACGTCAAAGATATTTATTTATCTAAGAAAGCGATATACTTTCAAATATACATATAAGTAATGGGAGGAAAATTTATTGTATATATTGCTTTAGCTGTTAGTTAGTTTCAAATAGTCACAGCTGAAATTAAGTGAATCTTTTTCACAACTAAGGTAGACAATACAAACTTTATGCTTGTCATAACATACTTCAAACTTAACAAATTTGTTATTGCAAATTTTGCGTCCCGGAATTCAGTTTCTTCTTTAACTAGAAGTTAAAGAAGAGGTATAAAGATATTTCTTAGAGGATATTAATATCTTTTATATATACTCCTATTAGTAAAAATTCCAGTACCATAAAATATAATCAGAACTGAAGGAAATTTATTGCAGATACGATTTGTAATGATAAAACGGTACAATTAAATTTGCTTGTAAAGTAATTCAAGAACGTTAAATACCCAAAATTTGTGTTTCATGAAGCCACCATGCTCTGCAGTAGGAAGTTCTACTTGTATTGAATCGAACAAATTTTGAATGTGTACCAAGGGTAGCATTCCGCATTCCATATTAATCCTATCCGAGCCCTTATCTGATTCGTGTTGGTTGCAGCACAAGTATCACGAGTGCATTGCTTGTAAATAAAACCCCCTGTACATGTTCAATATAGGATAAATGGGCAGACGAAGAAAGAAACGATATCTCACAGGCTGAGAAGTCTTAAATATTTCTGGCAATATGTAGACGACATTGTTCTGTTGAAACATACCCTCCACGAATGCGCTGAATTAACAGTGCGACTTCTAGCTCTACAACATCCCTGATATAGCGGTTGTTGATGACAGTAGCATCAGGTTGTTGATGACAGTTCTTAGCAAACGATATCCTCCATCATATTCAAAGTCGCCACAGACCATCACGTTCAGCGTTTGTCCAATATGATGCTAGATAGTACACTCCGTAAGATGATATTCACACCTATAG